AGTTAGTTATGATTACCCTTTGTATCAACTAGAAATCAAGAATGCAGTTTTACATGGAGACTTACAAGAGGAGGTATATATTCTATTACCTTAGTTAAGGAACAATTAGTGTGTCGTTGAAGAAAGCACTATATGGTTTGAAATAATCACCACATACTTAGTTTGATAAGTTCAGTACTATTGTACTTGAGTATGGTTTTCGGCGTTCTATTTCAGAACCATTTAGTTTTTATTTGTCGTTCTTCCACATGTATTATTATTCTTATTATGTATGTTGATGACATTATCATTAATGGTAATGATTTAGATATCATTGCCCATTTTCAAGATTCATTTGGGGAATCAATTCCATACTAAAAACCTATGTCTTCTTCGGTATTTTGTTGGGATTGAAGTTGTTCGGTCAAAGGAAGGTATCAGTTTGTGCCAACGAAGTATGTATTAAATTTATTGTCTGAAATTGATACTCTTGGTGCACTTCCAACTGATACTCCCATGGACTCTACGATTAAGTTAGATGCTGAGAGTTGTGAAGTTTTTGATGATGTAAGCGTTATCAAAGGTTGATTATTAAGCTGTTTTATTTTATAGTTACATGTCTTGATATTACCCGTGCTATTGGTGTTGTTAGTCAGTTCATGCATGCTCTTCGTAAGTCTCATTGAGAGGCTATTTGCCGNAAAGGTTGATTATTAAGCTGTTTTATTTTATAGTTACATGTCTTGATATTACCCGTGGTGTTGTTAGTCAGTTCATGCATGCTCTTCGTAAGTCTCATTGAGAGGCTATTTGCCGTATTCTTCGGTATCTGAAAAGAGCACCGGATAAAAGATTATTATATCGTTCTTCATCATCAATGACTATTATTGGCTTTTTTGATACTACTGGACAGATAATCGTGTTGATAGACGATTTATTTTGGGTTACTGTATATTTATTGGTGGCAATCTTGTGACGTGGCGCAACAAGAAACATAATATAGTTGCACGTTCAAGTGTAGAGACTGAATATCGGGTCATGGCTCATATTGTGTGTGAAATGTTGTGAGTTCATTCTTTAGTTCATGATATGAGTATCNTTGATACTACTGGACAGATAATCGTGTTGATAGACGATTTATTTTGGGTTACTGTATGTTTATTGGTGGCAATCTTGTGACGTGGCGCAACAAGAAACATAATATAGTTGCACATTCAAGTGTAGAGACTGAATATCGGGTCATGGCTCATATTGTGTGTGAAATGTTGTGAGTTCATTCTTTAGTTCATGAAATGAGTATTAGTGTGGCCTTTCCTATGGAAATGCATTGTGACAACTAGACGGCTATTTTCATTGCGAGGTCTTTCATAAGAGGACTAAACACATTAAAGTAGAATATCATTTTATTCGAGATCTCCTAATGCGAAAGGAGATTATCACACGATACATCAAGTCTACTAATCAGCTGGGTGATATTCTTACCAAACCATTGACTCGATCTGTTTTCACTAATCTTTGTTCCAAATTAGGTATCTTTGATTTTTATGCTCCAGCTTGTGGGGGAGTGTTAGAGTTCTTATTTTATATTATTATAAATGTATGGTAATAATGTAATTACTCATAATATCAATTTATTATAAATAAGAGTGTAGGGCGACATAGCTCATACAAAGATTATTCTCATTCTTTTTCTCCTCTTCTCTTCTTCTGTCCTGCTCTCCTCCTTCTAACANTATGGTAATAATGTAATTACTCATAATATCAATTTATTATAAATAAGAGTGTAGGGCAACATAGCTCATACAAAGATTATTCTCATTCTTTTTCTCCTCTTCTCTTCTTCTGTCCTGCTCTCCTCCTTCTAACATATNATTTAGACTTATTCCTCGTGTTTTTGATTGCGTTGTATGTGTTCATCTTCTTGGTTCGGGGTGGGATAAACTTTCAACTTGCTCAGTTAAGTGTCTTTTTGGGACATTCTTGTACTCAGAAAAGTTATGGGTGCTATGACCTTATCTTTCGCCGATAGTATGTCAGTGCTGATGTTACATTTTTTGAGTCATCGTCTTTCTTTTCTCTATTATGACATGCACTTTCCCCAAATTTAGTCTTTCCTAGTCAGGAAGAGCTCTTGTTGCCTATTGTACCAGATTGTATTTCCTCACCCTTTTTGATTACTACTCTGTTGTAGGTTTATCGTCATTCTAAGGACTAACTGGTTATTCCATATGCTCCAGTTCTACAATCATCACTTGATTCTATTGAGGTCTTACAACTGTCAACTAGTTTGGCCACTTCTGATTTACCAAACCATCATTCGTACTTGTATCAAGAATTCCATTTCCATTTCTATTTTTGTTTATTTACATTGACTTTCATCATTCTTTTGTTGTTTTGTATCGACTGTCTTCTGTATTTGTTCCTAGCTCTTTGCGACAAGCTTTGACATCTTTTGGTTAGAAATTGGCTATGGATGTAGAAATGAAAGCCCTTAAGGGCATAAACTACTATATAGAGTCTTGAGTGCCTTCCTTTTGTAAACCAACTAAGTTAATTCCGATTGAATGCGGAATCCCACTAGCTTCGTATGCACTCCTAGATCCATAAAGGACATGGGCTTCTCTATGCCGGTGTAGCTAAGCAAAGAGCAGAAAGAAGGAATCACAAAAGAAATTCATTCTTTCAACATTTGATGAAACTTACCGGTCATGAGAATCAAACAAGGGATCTTACTTCTCTTCTTTCTATTAAGTTGTCTGTTAGTTGTCGTTGAATTTATACAGTGAGTATCAACCCGATGGTTCAGTTGAGCATTTGAAGACATGCTTAGTTGCCAAAGGCTACACATAGACATGGTATGGATTATTATGAGACTTTTTCTCCTGTTATTCGTCTTATCTTTGTCAGAGTTCTTATTTCTGTTGTAGTTAGTTATGATTACCCTTTGTATCAACTAGAAATCAAGAATGCAGTTTTACATGGAGACTTACAAGAGGAGGTATATATTCTATTACCTTAGTTAAGGAACAATTAGTGTGTCGTTGAAGAAAGCACTATATGGTTTGAAATAATCACCACATACTTAGTTTGATAAGTTCAGTACTATTGTACTTGAGTATGGTTTTCGGCGTTCTACTTCAGAACCATTTAGTTTTTATTTGTCGTTCTTCCACATTATTATTATTCTTATTATGTATGTTGATGACATTATCATTAATGGTAATGATTTAGATATCATTGCCCATTTTCAAGATTCATTTGGGGAATCAATTCCATACTAAAAACCTATGTCTTCTTCGGTATTTTGTTGGGATTGAAGTTGTTCGGTCAAAGGAAGGTATCAGTTTGTGCCAACGAAGTATGTATTAAATTTATTGTCTGAAATTGATACTCTTGGTGCACTTCCAACTGATACTCCCATGGACTCTACGATTAAGTTAGATGCTGAGAGTTGTGAAGTTTTTGATGATGTAAGCGTTATCAAAGGTTGATTATTAAGCTGTTTTATTTTATAGTTACATGTCTTGATATTACCCGTGCTATTGGTGTTGTTAGTCAGTTCATGCATGCTCTTCGTAAGTCTCATTGAGAGGCTATTTGCCGTATTCTTCGGTATCTGAAAAGAGCACCGGATAAAAGATTATTATATCGTTCTTCATCATCAATGACTATTATTGGCTTTTTTGATACTACTGGACAGATAATCGTGTTGATAGACGATTTATTTTGGGTTACTGTATATTTATTGGTGGCAATCTTGTGACGTGGCGCAACAAGAAACATAATATAGTTGCACATTCAAGTGTAGAGACTGAATATCGGGTCATGGCTCATATTGTGTGTGAAATGTTGTGAGTTCATTCTTTAGTTCATGAAATGAGTATTAGTGTGGCCTTTCCTATGGAAATGCATTGTGACAACTAGACGGCTATTTTCATTGCGAGGTCTTTCATAAGAGGACTAAACACATTAAAGTAGAATATCATTTTATTCGAGATCTCCTAATGCGAAAGGAGATTATCACACGATACATCAAGTCTACTAATCAGCTGGGTGATATTCTTACCAAACCATTGACTCGATCTGTTTTCACTAATCTTTGTTCCAAATTAGGTATCTTTGATTTTTATGCTCCAGCTTGTGGGGGAGTGTTAGAGTTCTTATTTTATATTATTATAAATGTATGGTAATAATGTAATTACTCATAATATCAATTTATTATAAATAAGAGTGTAGGGCAACATAGCTCATACAAAGATTATTCTCATTCTTTTTCTCCTCTTCTCTTCTTCTGTCCTGCTCTCCTCCTTCTAACATATTATTGTAGTTTTTTACTTCTTAACTGTCAAGATCCTGGTCACACCAAAAATAGATCTCAAGGACCAAGCTACAATAAGAAATGGAGAAGAAACTCAGATTATTACATTACTTTCAGAGAACTGCTTCTAATAAAGTCAAACTTCATTTTTAATCTATTTTTGCAGCATAAATTTCTTTTGACAGATATGAGCATCATTTGAGGACAATTTACTCAAAGTTGTCTACTTTTAATAGCATTAACAGTTCTTTTGTTTGAATGGTAAAAACCCCCGTTTAACAGGGATGGAAGTGGCTCTTCATTCTGAAATAATTATTTTGTTCTCCATCTATTGCGTTTTCAGAGCTTCAAAGTTTCCAATTAATGCTTTAGCTTCTAGGACGGTTTCTAAATTTAAATTATTATTGGCATGGTGTAATAGTCACTGATGCAAATTGTTATGCCAAATGTCTGTGAGATTTTTTGGTATCTTTACTTTGTTGCATGACTTTAAATATATGCTGCTATACTTGAATCAATTATAGAATATGTGTGCTATTTGGAACAGGTTCTTTACTTGTGACATTTGAAATGTCTCTTTCCATCTAAATTTCACAGTTCGTATGGCCAAAATTTGTCCACCAGCACATTTATTGGGGAAACCTCATTTGCAATACTCATTGCCATCTTGGGACTCGTCTTGTTTGCCCATTTGATTGGAAACATGCAGGTATTGAGAAACACTTACTCTCTTTGACCGATATTTTTGTTTAGATTAAGTTCCAAAATAAATGTTTGAAATGCTCTAACAATCTCAAGGACTGCTCTTTTTCTTGAAGTGTTATGAAACTGATAATGGTCAACTGACAATTAAAAAATTCATTTTTTTTGTTAATCATCGAAATTATATTAGAAAAAGAAACAATAACATCAAAAAGATACCATGGAGGACAAGACATCCTCCCAAGGATTATGACAAAAAATAGGAAAACTACATCAAAAAAATCCAAACCAGCGGTGTAAAAGAGAGGAAGGCCATCAAACTCCTTGGTCACTGATGCCCACAAGAACCAGAAACTACACTCTAGCCCATAAGCAATGATTGCTCTCTCTTTTCCTATCAAAACTCTAGCATTCGGTTCAACCAAATCACTCAAAAGCCAAGAATAGCACAATTTGAAAAAATTTGTAGCCGAAATCCCATCTAAAGCCCCTGAAGGCTTCCATAAACATGGAGACATAGTGCCTAGGAACCACCCAACTCATTTTTGCCAATTGGAATAACTTCCACCACTGTTCTCAAGCAACGGGACAATAATCAAGGGTTCCCCCTAACTTTGAAACATAACGCCCCACTGTGGTAGCAAACAAGCATAAGGCTTCCTTTTCTGAAGCACATCATTAGTATAAATTTTGCCACGAGCTATCGGCCATGCACTAAATTTGGACCTTTATGGCACCTTTGCCTTCCAAAGCATCATAGATGGAGAGAACACTGGAAAAGGTGAAAGTGTCAATCAAACACTCAAAGAAAGATTTACAAGAGAACATCCCAGATGGATCAACCACCCTACTCTTATATTCTCCATAATCACTTGCCCGTAAGGGGCGCAGTCATACATTTTCTTCCTTTTTCATGAAAAAATATCTGATACTACCACCGAATCACCTTGAGTGCTGTGATCCCAATACTTCTATGGATGGTATTGGGAATTTGGGATTCTACTGAATGCTTGTGTCATTTATGCTTAGTTATTTTCTAAAAATGGCTTTGGAGTCGCACTAAAAGCTCTTTTAAAATTTGACTTGATAACAGGGTATTTCTGCGATTATTAGTTTTGGAGGTTTAGCCTGGTGTAATTGATCTTCCTTAGAAATTTCAAAGCTGTTTTTAGTCTTTGTAAAACATTTGTTTTCTATTATTTTTCTTGATATGATGTTACTCCAGAAAAGGTTCACTCAAGTACCATCAAATTTCAGATTTATTAAGCCCTCCTTCATGTGATGGTAAATGGAGCTTTTGAAAACAGAATATTTCAGTGATGCTGAATGGAAAATGAGATCAAGCCAAATGTTGAAGACCAACAGTGAAGAGAATAAAATTTATGGAGTGATTAGGAGATTTTTTCATATCTAATCAGTTGAATTCTTGGCTTCTGAAATATTTGTTGGTTTTCCTGGTGCATACATTTACATCCACTAGATTTTGGAACCTTTAGTTGTTTATGGTGGTCCTTGTTTCCTCATGGTACTTATCATTTTCCATTACCATGCTTATGTGGACTATTTACCTGATGACTGATTACTGATGTGCAATAGACTTAACCATAAAAATACCACTGGTGAGTGTATACAATTGTAAGAAGCTGTCAGTATCCACCACTGGTATTTAAGAGAATCAGCTGAAGTTGATTGAAGAAGACCCTGAGGCTACTAGGTTGAAGAGTGAATAAAAGTAGATTACCTAGACCGATGGTTAGCATAATAATTTCTCGTACTGTGTTGAAAACAGTGGACTAGAATCTAAATGAGGTGACCTACGTCTTTTGGCTGAACAATTATTTGAAGATTGGAATTGCAGAATATATTGATTTCACACAAGAAATAGGTAGTTTCTGGTGGGAAAGCGAAGCAAAATATGCAGAAGTTACATGAGTTTGTAATTAGGACTTCTATATTTAACATGCATTGTATTGTACGACTTCTCAGGTGTTCACATGTCAAAGTAGTATCAACATACCCATATAAAATCTTACTTTCTACTTCTTTTGTGGCCTGTATTGTACAGTTCATGTCCGTTTACAGCAGACAGACTCCCATAGCAAACATTATGAGAGACTAAGAAATAGACGCAAAACGTAGATATCAGGATTGCCACTTGCAAAAGACATCACCATCGGTATTTGTTGTAGCTGCTAATATCAATGCATAACTTGTAAGCGACTGTCTGTGTCTATAAGTAAAAGTCCCTCTTGAAATGTAGTGCCTAGACTTTCACCTCATCTTCAGGTTCATCATAATTGGGGACATTAAGTTATCAACGGGTCCTCCTCAATTCTTACCAATTGTGAGCTTTTGTGGGTTTTAGGGAAATGTAACGTACCCATTAGATGCCCAAGATTATGAATCTTTCAAAACCCTTTCTGCAGTACAGAATTGCCATCATGTATTTCTTTGATATGATTACTATCCAGCTTATCTGCAAATGAGAGGGCCATTCAATCTCTATGTGGAATAGTTTAGTATGATTTTGTATGTGTTGCAATATTAATAGAGAACATAACACGTTGAAATGTTTTTCTTGCTCACCATTTGTACTTGTTGCAAGTGTAGACCTACCTGCAATCTATCACTGTGAGGCTTGAGGAGTGGAGGCTAAAGCGACGTGATACTGAGGAGTGGATGACGCATCGCCAACTCCCTCGAGATTTGCAAGAACGTGTTCGGAGGTTTGTACAATACAAGTGGCTTGCAACACGAGGAGTTGACGAAGATTCTATACTGCATGCCTTGCCTACAGATCTTCGTAGAGATATCCAACGCCACTTATGTTTGGACCTTGTTCGACGTGTAAGATATTTTTTGCTTTCATCCTCATCTAATGCTATATATGTGCTACACCAAGGTCCATTTCCAATGTGCAAGTATAGTGTACCTGCACTTGTTTTCACAATTCAAGGAACACATAAGGAAGAGAATTTCTAGTAAGAAAACTATCATTTTGTGCAGTATTGTGATTCACTTCTGGTTTCTATTGGCCTAGATAGCATTCTGTCTTTGCAAAAACTGAAATTTTTTTTGCTCTTCTTATTGGGATACCTTTTGTATTGTGCCTCATATCCACTGGGCAGAGACCGGCTTCATCGACTTCCAGTGTCCATATGGAATGCATCTATATCTCCTGGGGATAGGGATGGCAGTGGATCAGGGCGGGGGAAGTAGTCTCCACCCCTTTATCCGCTTCAAAAATATTCGTCCACCCCCGTTAGCAGGGNGGATACCTTTTGTATTGTGCCTCATATCCACTGGGCAGAGACCGGCTTCATCGACTTACAGTGTCCATATGGAATGCATCTATATCTCCTGGGGATAGGGATGGCAGTGGATTGGGGCGGGGGAAGTAGTCTCCACCCCTTTATCCGCTTCAAAAATATTCGTCCACCCCCGTTAGCAGGGGAAATTTTAATCCCTGTCCCCACTCCACGAGTAAATTTTGATTCCCGTCCTTGTCCTTGCCATTGTCCCAGTCCATAATAATTAATTTATATGATTTTAAGAAAAAATTAAAAAAAATCATAAAACCTCACAAATGGTTTTGCAAGAAGGATGAAACCATATTACATAACAAGTGGATCAAAAAAAAAAAAGAGTAAATTTTTTTTTTGGGATAAAGAGGAGAGTGTGTGGGTGGGTGGGGTTTGTGATAATATATATATATATATATGTATGAATAAATAGGTGGAATTTGTGTCTTTGTGATATTATATATATGTATTACAAATAACCTGTGCCTAAAGGCATTAAGTAATTCAAAAAACCTCGAGCACCGGTCTTGCAATATAAATATTTTCAAACAGTACTTTATTTTCTTTAGTTACACAATTCAAAATCATGTTGAAAACACTATTTTCTAAAAAATTTTGGCAAAACATCTCTAAAAACACAACCCCTAAAAATATCAACATACACAATTTATATATTTAATCATTATACCTACCAAATATCTTTTTTTTTTTTGGGTTGGAGTCGAAATTGCATGTTGACGGGTGTATAGAGAGAGTTATATGAGAGATGAGAGTATGACATAGATAAAAATTAGAGTTTTAATAGGTATTAGTTATATTTTGTTATTATTAGATATATATTGCCATTCAGGCCAAACTCTCCAATTCTTATTACTTTATTATTATATGCGTTTAGGATAAAGAGAATGTGTGTCTGTGAGTATGAGGTAGATAGAAAAATAGAGTTATATGAGAGATGAGTGTATGTTAAAATGTGTGAGAGATAAGAGAGAAAAACTGTAAAATGAATGAAAATTCAATTAAGATTATATAGATATAGATAGATAGATATATAATGACATACATGGACAGAGTTATACAGGGGCAAGGGTGGGCACAGGTAGGCATGTTCACCCTACCCTATGGGTAGAAAATATGCTTTTTCATCTTCCTACCTGATACTTTGTGGAAGAGTTTTTTCTTGGCCTACCCTACCCGACAGGTGTGGTATTCCTACTCGACTTCTTACCCGATTAATCGGGTAGGAAGTCAGGTAGGAAATCGGATAAACATTTTTGTAACAATTAATTTTTGGATCATTTTAACAATTTAATTAAATACTATGTACCAATTTAACAACACAATAAATAAATTAACAGTAAAATCTAAAACAACTACAACAAGAATTATAATAAAACACAAGAAAATATGAACATCAATCCACCATAATTGTAACACAAATACAATAACAATTAATTTAAGTTTAAACTTTAAACTATATGAAATACATTAAAATCATAATTGTTCTGCCTGTGGTTAGGGTTTTTTTTAGTTTATATATATATATTAAAAAATTATTGCAGGTAGGGTAGGGTAGGAATGTGAAAATGGATGGCTATTCCGCATTCCTATCCGAAAATTGTCAGAAAACCAAAAATTCGTCCGCATTCCTACCCGATTTTTGTGGCTAGATGTTTAGTAGGGTAGGAACTTGCGGCCGATCAGAAATTTGAACACCCCTAGGCACAGGTCCGCCTTCAAATTTTTTTTAAAGAACATGATATGTATATTTATATATTCTACACATTTTTTACTTGTGCTTACTCTATAATTTTCTTATTTCAATTATTTAGTTTTTTTTTATTATAATAAAGTTTTCTTCAGATGACCTCCATTTTATTATGAATTTTTGCAATTGAAAGTTTTTCAATTGATCTTTATTTGACTTTGTTTTTCTACCATAAAATGTCTTTTATTTTTATTTGATTATTGATTATAGTCTTTATTATGTGCCAATCAATTTTAATTTTTTTAATATGTTTACCTTTTAAATTTTTGTTTAATAGTTTTACTATGCTAATATTTTAGTGATAATGTTTAGAGCATCGTTTATTAAATAATTTTAATGGATGGTTAGTGGATGACTGATATTTTTTAATTATAAAAATGACAATTAGGTTCACTTTTTTTACAATGGTGATAATTAGTCAATATTGTATACATATACAATATACATTATTTTTTTGTCATTTTATTTTAAATAGACTTCATGTATCAAATATGATATAATAAATATAAATATATCATATAGCATGATTGGTTAGGAGAAAAAACATTAGAGTGTATAATGAACGTGTCCACCCTAAATAAAATTTCTGGCTGATGACATATGTTAATGGACCAAAAATTTGTTAGAAATAATCCTTGTTATTAGAGTTTTAATGGGTATTAGATATATTTTGTTATTATTAGATATATATAACCGTTCAGGAGATGGGAGAATGTGTGTTTAAAACGTGTGAGAGATAAGAGAGAGTATAAGATAGAGAGAGAGTTGTGTCAGTAAGTATGAGATAAGGNTTTGTTATTATTAGATATATATAACCGTTCAGGAGATGGGAGAATGTGTGTTTAAAATGTGTGAGAGATAAGAGAGAGTATAAGATAGAGAGAGAGTTGTGTCAGTAAGTATGAGATAAGCAGAGAGAATTAGATGAGAGATAGTAGTTTTAGAAAATTTTCGCATTACAACAGTCGGATCAATAATCGTCGAGCAATCTGAGCCATGAAAAAACAAACTTTTATAACTACTTTATCATATATATATATATATAGTACGAGTTTAGCAAGGCGGGGAGGGATGGGACGGGGATGAGTTTCAGTCCATCCCCGCATGGGTTTATATGGATATCCTCGTATAAGTCCACTGTCCAATACGCATGGTCCATCCCTGGTCCAAACAGAACGGATTTGGACGAATATTTATTTTTTCTGGTCCACTATCATCCCTACTTGGGAGAATCGTATATGCCCCATTTCATAGAATTTTGCCGCTTTGTGAATAGGGTAGACTAAAGGAGTTTTTGCTCTTGTTAACGCATGAGTGCATGTACTGGGCTAGCGTTCTACTACATTTTAGGCTTCATGGAGATCTTAATAAATCTAAATCACTTCTAACTCATGAATTTTCACTTTTTGGTTGTTGATATCGTCGTCCTAGTAAGTCAATGTAGGACCAATTCAATGCCAATTCTTGCTTCCCCTGGACAGGTCACTCTCCTGGAGAAAGTTGTAGCAATAGCTTTTCATTAGTTCTTGCATTAAATCACGATTAACTTGAAACAATTCCAAATTGCAGGTCCCCTTTTTCTCAGAGATGGATGATCAACTACTTGATGCCATATGTGAGCGCCTCCTATCATCCTTAAGTACTCAAGGCACCTACATAGTTCGTGAGGGGGATCCCGTTACAGAAATGCTTTTTATTATCAGAGGGAGACTAGAGAGCTCAACTACAAATGGAGGCCGAACAGGTTTCTTCAATTCAATTACATTGAGACCTGGCGACTTTTGCGGTGAGGAACTTCTTGCATGGGCACTGCTTCCAAAATCTACTCTCAACTTGCCTTCTTCGACAAGAACAGTGAGAGCCCTTAATGAAGTGGAAGCCTTTGCATTGCGAGCAGAAGATCTCAAGTTTGTAGCCAATCAATTTAGACGTCTCCACAGTAAGAAGCTTCAACACACATTTCGTTGTTACTCTCACCACTGGAGGACTTGGGCTGCCTGTTTCATTCAGGCTGCTTGGTGCCGACACATGAAGAGAACGATGGCAAAGAACCTTAGCATGACAGAGTCATTCTCCTCTTTTGCTCCTGATGAGCAAGTAGTTGATGAAACAGAACAAGAAAGCGAAGAGGACAATGCTAAACCAGTAAATTCGTCTCAAGCAAAACAGAACTTGGGAGTCACAATACTGGCTTCAAGATTTGCTGCTAACACAAGGAGAGGAGCTCAGAAGACCAAGGATGTTGGATTGCCCAAGTTGCAGAAGCCTGAAGAGCCTGACTTCTCGACTGAGCCAGATGATGACTAGTTTTTTTTGAACTGTAGATGATGACTAATTCAAATGTGGTAACAGTGTGAGTTATGACAACCGCCACTATCAAGGGAGAAAGTTGCAGAATCCTTTAAAGAAAATTCCAAAATTAGGTGAAGGTTTGGATCTTCATACAAGAACACATGATGCACAGCTCTAATTGCATTAGTTGTATTGTAGTGTAAAAGCATGCCATTCAGTAGAGGTAAGCTGCTTCCAATTTATTTGCTTTCCTTGACAAATACATGTAGCATGCCTTGGAAACGTGTCAGGTAATGGTTAAGAGCAGTCAGCAGTGCAGGCATAGCTTGTTGCATAATTTGAGGTTTTGAAATTCTGGTTCAATATGTATATCAGAGTTCTGCTTTTATGCATTTTTTTTTTTGNTAATTTGAGGTTTTGAAATTCTGGTTCAATATGTATATCAGAGTTCTGCTTTTATGCATTTTTTTTTGTTTTTNAAGCTGCTTCCAATTTATTTGCTTTCCTTGACAAATACATGTAGCATGCCTTGGAAACGTGTCAGGTAATGGTTAAGAGCAGTCAGCAGTGCAGGCATAGCTTGTTGCATAATTTGAGGTTTTGAAATTCTGGTTCAATATGTATATCAGAGTTCTGCTTTTATGCATTTTTTTTTTTGGGGTTCAAGTTTTAGGACAATATAAACTTCATTGTTAGTGTGATATTTGCTTAAAAATTTTGCCGGTTGCACTACAATTACAATATGGCTTGCATATGTGATTGGATATTGAAATGCTCTTAATGTTAGGATCTTCCCATTTGATTATACACGAGAAATCGCTAGCACAACCTAGAAGGGGGAGGGCTGAATAGGCTAATTAAAAATTATCGATTGAACAACCTTCATTTTATAACCTAAGCGATCACAATTGCCAAATTAAAAGATTAATTTGTCAATTAAGCATTTGAACCTTTTTTACTCACAAAAAAAACCTTTCATGATTGAATGGATATGTATATGCAATCATTTGATCCCTCCTACAAGTCAAGTACCAAAACCTCAATTTTGATGAAGAAATTGAATGAAACAACTCAAGTGTCAGTTCATTAGACATAATGTATACTACAGCAAGTGTGTGCAAAATTTAAGGAAGAATAAGAACATCCACAGTGTAAGTAATTTTTACATGGAAACTCTTTCAAAAAAATCAAGAAATTTGTTTTGGTTCACCTAGGCTAATCTACTAAACACAAAGAAAATTACAAGTACTTGAGTCTTCTTATACCTTAACCAATTTGCATATGGTTAGATGCTTCTTTCTTTGTCAATCTCTTCTTCGGATTCACCCATTGAAGTCTTGAGCAGTTTCACTTGGACGTGCTCATCGTGATGAACTGTCTAGGCCTCAAGTAATATTTAAGCATCCTCTCCCAAGACACTTGGTATGCACACAACCAATATAGATTTAGGCAAAACATAAAGCAAGATCTTCTTCTCCAAGGTGTGAAGTTGCAAGAAGAATTAAGATAGTTTGGCATTTGGATCTTAGGGATATAGGAGTTTCTTGGCTCTCTAGTTTTTTAGGAGGATACTTTGAAAAGTATTAGAGAGTTCCACTTTATGTACATCGTTGGAATTTGAGTGTAATTGGGGATCAAGAAAAGCTAAATTTGCAAAGTACCACTCAAGCCATCAGAGAGTGGTTTGCATTGGAATGAGAAAAGGATTCAATCTAGGATCGTGCCGTCTGAGAATCACTTAAGTCATTTCAGATTGTTTGAGCAACTTGAGAATGGCAAAAAAGGCGGTCTTTATCGCACAACTCGTCAACCTTCTCTAATTTTTTCCTAAGTGTTTAGTGATCTCTCTAGCCGAGCACAAGCAAGCAAAGGGTAGTTACTACTAGTTTTTAAGCTAGTAACTAAGCAAAAACTTGACCTATTGAATCCGATACATGCCTTATCTTATCTTTTCTAAACCTATTTTGATGTTTAGAATTTTTTTCCATGAAAAACTTGTAAAACCCAATAAATTTAAACTTTTGTAAATAAGGGCAAAATAGTAATTTTGTCACTATAGTATGGGTTGAAAACCTTAGTTTTTTAGATATCGGATGACGAAACGGACCTCATTTTTGGATTCGTCTCGCAAAATCTAGTTACCACGTCAAATTTCATCGAATTCTGAGATAATCAAATTTTTTGCGTTTTGCGAAGCGGTCCTGTATCGGGTGACCCAAAAATGAGATTTTCAATAAAATTTCAAAAGTTGGGAAACAATTTAAGGCAAATTGAAATAAAATTTATTTGAACTTGAATCGGGGCGAATTTTAATCATTTGGGATGAAAATGGACCAAGGAAAAAGAGGGCTGTGTGGCGCGTTGTGGGCCAAGTATTCTAAGAGTATAAATAGGGAGAAAAATCAGATTTTTCCCCCATTCTTCAGCCGGCCATTAACGTTGCGAGAAAGAGAGGGAAAGTGAGGAAACAACTCTACATTCTCTCTACGATCTACAAGGCTACGGTGCTCAAATTCACTCGGGACAAGAACAAAAGACATTCTCCTCGCCGAAGGCTACGCGACCACACCAAAAATGACGGGTTTCACCGAAGGTTGAAAAATGAGATTTTGGGGAAGTGAGGATTCAAGTTTTTCTTAGGTTCTTGGAGCTTCCCAACGTCGTTTGACGCTTTAAGAGGTAGAGTTTCTTCTTACTTGGGTTTATTTTACAACCTATAGGGTTATATGTAATGGGTAGATGGATAGCTATATATACCACTTGTATATGATTGTGAAATGGATAGAGTTGGGTGATTGATGAATTGGGTTTGTGAATTTGACCTAAATTAAGTGAAATTCCTAGATTGGAATTGGTGGGTCACAATTATTGTGTAATTCTATGAAAAATGGGTGTTATGTGGGCATACTATATGCTTTATATTATGCTTTGTGAATGAGCTGTAAATTCTTGAGTGATAACATGAATTGTTGCTTTGATGGTGTTTGCCAAATGCCTATGTGTGAATCAAGTTGTTATGTCATAATGAAGAATAACATGCTTAGAAAAAATGTGTTGGAAAGAAATGTTAATATGTGCTCATTGAGATATTGACATTGTGATAATTTATGGAATTTATATGCTTATGATANACACACAAAGACAATTACAAGTACTTGAGTCTTCTTATACCTTAACCAATTTGCATATGGTTAGATGCTTCTTTCTTTGTCAATCTCTTCTTTGGATTCACCCATTGAAGTCTTGAGTAGTTTCACTTGGACGTGCTCATCGTGATGAACTGTCTAGGCCTCAAGTAATATTTAAGCATCCTCTCCCAAGACTCTTGGTATGCACACAACCAATATAGATTTAAGCAAAACATAAAGCAAGATCTTCTTCTCCAAAGTGTGAAGTTGCAAGAAGAATTAAGATAGTTTGGCATTTGGATCTTAAGGATATAGGAGTTTCTTGGCCCTCTAGTTTTTTAGGAGGATACTTTGAAAAGTATTAGAGAGTTCCACTTTATGTACATCATTGGAATTTGAGTGTAATTGGGGATCAAGAAAAGCTAAATTTGCAAAGTACCACTCAAGCCATCAGAGAGTGGTTTGCATTGGAATGAGAAAAGGATTCAATCTAGGATCGTGCCGTCTGAGAATCACTTAAGTCATTTCAGATTGTTTGAGCAACTTGAGAATGGCAAAAAAGGCGGTCTTTATCGCACAACTCGTCAACCTTCTCTAATTTTTTCCTAAGTGTTTAGTGATCTCTCTAGCCGAGCACAAGCAAGCAAAGGGTAGTTACTACTAGTTTTTAAGCTAGTAACTAAGCAAAAACTTGACCTATTGAATCCGATACATGCCTTATCTTATCTTTTCTAAACCTATTTTGATGTTTAGAATTTTTTTTCATGAAAAACTTGTAAAACCCAATAAATTTAAACTTTTGTAAATAAGGGCAAAATAGTAATTTTGTCACTATAGTATGGGTTGAAAACCTTAGTTTTTTAGATATCGGATGACGAAACGGACCTCATTGTTGGATTCGTCTCGCAAAATCTAGTTACCACGTCAAATTTCATCGAATTCTGAGATAATCAAATTTTTTGCGTTTTGCGAAGCGGTCCTGTATCGGGTGACCCAAAAATGAGATTTTCAATAAAATTTCAAAAGTTGGGAAACAATTTAAGGCAAATTGAAATAAAATTTATTTGAACTTGAATCGGGGCGAATTTTAATCATTTGGGATGAAAATGGACCAAGGAAAAAGAGGGCTGTGTGGCGCGTTGTGGGCCAAGTATTCTAAAAGTATAAATAGGGAGAAAAATCAGATTTTTCCCCCATTCTTCAGCCGGCCATTAACGTTGAGAGAAAGAGAGGGAAAGTGAGGAAACAACTCTACATTCTCTCTACGATCTACAAGGCTACGGTGCTCAAATCCACTCGGGGCAAGAACAAAAGACATTCTCCTCGCCGAAGGCTACGCGACCACACCAAAAATGACGGGTTTCACCGAAGGTTGAAAAATGAGATTTTGGGGAAGTGAGGATTCAAGTTTTTCTTAGGTTCTTGGAGCTTCCCAACGTCGTTTTACGCTTTAAGAGGTAGAGTTTCTTCTTACTTGGGTTTATTTTACAACCTATAGTGTTATATGTAATGGGTAGATGGATAGCTATATATACCACTTGTATATGGTTGTGAAATGGATAGAGTTGGGTGATTGATGAATTGAGTTTGTGAATTTGACCTAAATTAAGTGAAATTCCTAGATTGGACTTGGTGGGTCACAATTATTGTGTAATTCTATGAAAAATGGGTGTGATGTGGGCATACTATATGCTTTATATTATGCTTTGTGAATGAGTTGTAAATTCTCGAGTGATAACATGAATTGTTGCTTTGATGGTGTTTGCCAAATGCCTATGTGTGAATCAAGTTGTTATGTCATAATGAAGAATAACATGCTTAGAAAAATTGTGTTTGAAAGAAATGTTAATATGTGCTCATTGAGATATTGACATTGTGATAATTTATGGAATTTATATGCTTATGATATGAATTTCCATGGAACATGTAGACATGTGGTTTAAAATTGCTCATATGACATTCATTACATGTGGGCATGATGTTGGAATAGCAATGATGCATTACATTGCATATGCACATAGAGATCACATTTTATGGGTATGAATGCATGGTTGGCATCAAACACCATATAGGTGGATGATGGGTGGGCTCGAAAAAGTTGGATTGAATGTCTGACTGAGTCACACAGTTGCATGAAAAAGACTTGGGTCGGGGTAGCAAGAAGGGCTAGACTATCCCTCGGGTGAGAGACTCGGTATTTAGATACGCACTTTCGTTGGTATAAGAGCCCATAAAGTGTGTCGGTGTACGCAGAACCGTTGGTGGAAGTCCATGAATTCCATGTCGGTTGGGTGACCGTTGGAGTAAGTCCATAAATATCCACTCCAAGAAAGAACCAGAGATTTTAGTTAGTCATTAGGTGTGAAACACAAATGACGGGGGCTTGGAGAGCCCGGTTTTGATACTCACGTCATAGCATGGGGTGAAGGTAGATAGCTAGAGCTAGAAAAGTTCGATTTTAATANCTCCAAGAAAGAACCGGAGATTTTAGTTAGTCATTAGGTGTGAAACACAAATGACGGGGGCTTGGAGAGCCCGGTTTTGATACTCACGTCATAGCATGGGGTGAAGGTAGATAGCT